AAATCTGATGGAACAGGGTAGGGATTTCGATAGGAAAGGGTCAGCCTTTAATAAATCTTGCACATGAGAGTTGAGCAGATGACAGGAGAAGGTCGCTTAGAAGTGAAGGGAACGAGAAGGGGCGTATTTATTGATTACAGAGGAAATGTAGTGAGGAGTGGGAATCTGAATGCTTTATATGTTAGCATTAGCAGTTTGAATTGAATAAAAATTATATGAGCGATCAGGGCCAGATTTAGATGTCAAGTGTCTGTAGCCACAGATTTCTAAGGCTGCTCCCCCCTCCACCACCCAAAAAAGTGAAAAATAATAAAAAATGGCAGATAAATTAAATGTTATTGATTAATTTGGCATTGCACACATAAAAACTTCTAAAAGTGTATATTCATATTTGAGAACTGCATATGTGTGTACTGTATGTATATTTCTGCTTGTAATCTATTGTGTACAGTGAGTATATGCAGCTGCATATCCCCATTATTGATGTCCTAAGAAGAAGAACGCTGGTGGGAGGGGGTAAAGGGGGCAGGCCAGTGATGTCACGTCATTGGCTCTGCCCATAGTGGCAGACCCACATGGGAAGCAAATGCACGCCAGACTTCCTGCCAAGCTAGCAGGCCAGCTCAATGAAGGCAGGTTTTGCAGGGAGCTCTCTACATGTTTTAGGGACAGTTCCCAAGGACATCTGGGAACAAAGTCAGGACAGTGGGACTTGACATGACAATTGGGACTTCCCCACCGAAATTGAGATGATTGAGAGGCATGCAGCTGTGTAAATCTATGTAGAATTAAAAATAATATTATAAAAAGTTAGGGTAAGTTATATTACGTAGGGTGTTTAGTGTGAAAAGGATTAAACGTTTGAGAGGGGTTTAGAGTGATTGAGTTTATAGTTAGAGTTGGGTTTAATTTAGTATTGGGGTACATTAGGTGCTTCATTTTTAAAAGGCGTTAAACCTAGGAGTAAGGTAAAGGTTTTTATTTTCCAGGTTTAGACTTTGAGACTGTGAGGTTAAACTGTTGGTGAGCAATTTAACCCCTAAAGGTAAGTTAGTTTTGCGGAAGTTATGATGCCTGGAGTGTTTCTTTAAGCTCCAAAAAGTCACATTACCAAGGTTGAAAATAGATGTCCCCTACAGGCAGGGCCGGACTGGGGATACAAAGCAGCCCTGGAAAAAAATCTATGCCAGCCCCATAAGTCATTGTGCTATGTAGGGTGTTATATATATATATATATATATATATATATATATGCAATTGAAATAGTTGGCTGCACTCTCGGATTTCCTGAAAATGTAACTTTTATTGAAATATTTAAGAGAAGATCAATGTTTCAGTTCCTCTTGTGGACTTTCGTCATGATCCTGATGCAAGTCCACAAGAGGGACTGAAACGTTGATCTTCTCTTAAATATTTCAATAAAAGTAAAATTTTAAGGAAATCCGAGAGTGCAGCCAACTATTTCAATTGCCTATATATATACTGGAGCCCTGGTGATGCAACAGTGTGTATGTGTGTGTATATATATATATATATATATATATATTTTATTTTTATTTATTTTTATTGATACATTTCTTCTTCTAATTCAAAATATTAGTTCTTTTAGGGTAATTAAATTATACAGTAAAGCATACTCACACACAGACAGACAATCTTACTGATGCACACAAATAGGCTCATTGACAGACAATGACACACACAGACAAGGTTACTGGCACACACACAACTTTAGTACAGACAAACTCTGATACACACACACACAAGCTTACTATAGACAAGCTCACTGTCACACACACGCTCACTACAGACAAGCTCACTGATGCGCACACTCTCCCTACAGACAAGCCCATTGACACACACGCTCCCTACAGAAGAGCTCACTAACACACAGATTCACTACAGACAAGCTCACTGACATACACATGCTCACTACAGACAAGCTCACGATCACACTCATGCTTACTACAGACAAGCTCACTGTACACACATGCTCACCACCGACAGGCTCCGACACACCCATGCTCCTTACAGACAAGCTCACTAACGCACACACACATATGATCCCTACAGACAAGCTCACTGACACACATGCAAGCTCACTCACTAGCAGGCACACACACACACACAAACTCACTAGCAGGCACACACACACACACACAGAGGCTCCCTCACTAGCAGATGCGCGCACACACACACACAGAGGCAGACAGTCACTGACACCCAGGCAGACAGCCACACACACACAGGCAGACAGTCACTGACACCCAGGCAGACAGCCACACACACACACACACACCAGCAGACAGTCACTGACACCGAGGCAAACACCCACACATACAAAGACAGGCAGACAGCCACACACTCACACACACAGACAGTCACACACAGGCAGACAGCCACGCACACACAGGCAGACAGTCACATACACACACAGGCAGACAGTCACACACACACAGTCACACACAGACAATCACACAGTCACACACTCACAGACAGACACACACACACACAGTCACACACTCACACAGTCACACATACACAGGCAGTCACACACACACACAGACACAGTCACACACACAGTCACACAGACAGTCACACACACACACAGTCACACACTCACACACAGACAGTCACACAGACAGTCACACACTCTCAGACAGTCACACACAGACACAGTCACACACACACAGACAGTCACACACTCACACACAGACAGTCACACACTGTCAGACAGTCACACACTCTCAGACAGTCACACACAGTCACACACACACAGACACAGTCACACCCACACAGACAGTCACACACACACCCACAGGCAGTCACACAGACAGTCACACACAGACACAGTCACACACAGACAGTCACACACACACACACACACAGACACACACACACACACAGACACACACACAGACACACACACACACACACACACACACACACACACTCTGACAGTCCCGCACACTCACAGATTGATCACACGCACCACGGGCAGTCCGCACAGACAGTCCACACACACACACAGTCACACAGTCACACACAGACAGTCACACAGACAGACACACACACACACGGACGGTCCGCACGCTCACAGACAGTCACACACACACGGTGCACACACACGCACAGACACGGTCACGCACGGACGGTCCACACACACACACACAGACACAGTCACACACAGACGGTCACACGCACACACACACACGCACAGACAGACGGTCACACACACAGACAGTCACACAGGCAGTCACACACTCACAGGCAGTCACACAGGCAGTCACACAGACAGTCACACACACACACACAGTCACACAGACAGTCACACACTCACAGGCAGTCACACAGACAGACAGTCACACAGTCACACACTCACAGGCAGTCACACAGGCAGTCACACAGACAGTCACACACACACACACAGTCACACAGACAGTCACACACTCACAGGCAGTCACACAGACAGACAGTCACACAGTCACACACTCACAGACAGTCACACAGACAGTCACACACACACACACACAGTCACACACTCACACTGACCTGCTTCTTACCTCCTGCTTGGAGCTTCTGGAGGCTGGTTGTTGGGGAAGCAGGGACTCCTTCCTGCTTCCCATGCTGCAGTCAGCCAGGCCGCCGTCACACAGTAAGCCCCGCCCCCTCCGCCTGCTAGCCCCGCCCCTGCCGCACGTAAGCCCCGCCCCCGCCGCAAATTTTTTTTATTTTTTTTTCTCATCCCAGCCGGCCATGTGTGAGCTGGGATTACAGGGCTGCATAGGAGCCCAATGATCAGGGCTGTCAGACCGGCCCCAGGTGCGGCGGCCCACCGGGAAATTTCCCGGTATCCCGGTGGGCCAGTCCGGCCCTGTGTGTATGTCTGTTAGTGAGAGTGTATGTGTGTGTTAGTGAATGTGTGTTAGTGAGTGTGTATGTCTGTTGGCTAGTGTATGTGTGTCTGTCAGTGAATGTGTGTGTATTTAGAAGGCGGGGCAGGGTGCCTGAGTTTTGTCATGCCTAGGGCAGCACAAAACCAGGATACACCACTGATATTATGGCACTAGAAAAAGTGCACTGGTTATCTACAAAATGAATAACAGAATGGAACATTAGTTATGAAGAAAAGTTAACAAATGTAAACCTCTTTTAGAACAATGGCGCCTCAGAGGGCATATGAGCATGGGCGCCCGCAGAAGGATCCAAGGGGGGTTGCAATCTCCCTTGGATTTTTCAGCTTGCTCTGCTATTTTTTGTGTGAAATTGAAAATACACTGCAATACCAGTGCAGGCAGTGTCAGAAGACAGTGTCAGAAGAAAAAGAAGATTGTGTCAAATGAGGGAGAAGAAACAGAGATTGGAGCAGGAAGGACAAGTGAAGTGAACCCTCCACTTTATTCTGGACACCACATCACAAGGCTTTGGACACTTTGGACCTTTTCATCTCCCCAGGTAAAAAAAATATCAGTGTTAATGTGTTTGCTTTTATTTACTGAGTGTCAGGAAGCACAGAGTGCCACTGGGTAGGGGTGTCGCTGATTGGCTAGAGCGGTCAGCTGGCACTATTAGCCAATCAGTAGCTCCCTGTTAATAAAGTAAAACATTTTTTATGAACCGGGAACTAGCGATTGGCTTAGAGCGTCAACTGGACCACTCTAGCCAAACCCATGCCTGATGTAAATCTGCACTTCCTGACATTTAGATGAAGTTATGGTGAGCAGAATGTTTCTTTAATTTGCTGTCATGTATTCCTGACACCATAGTTGTGAAAACGCTATTCACCCTGGCTTTATGTGATAATGACTATGCTCCTTTCCTTCATGACACTGTCAAAAAGGGACCAAGCATGGATGTCATTACAATTATGTCCCCGACTCCCGCCCCCTGGAAAAATTCCTGTGGACGCCCATGGATATGATAGCATTATAAAAATATATTTGGGGCCAATACAAACCATTGTCTGAAACTCTATCCATAAACAGGACTTTACACGGGATATGAGATCACATCTTTAGACTGGAAAATGGAGATTTAGTCTAAGAAAAAGGAAAGTTCTTTTTACAGTAAGAACATTAAGGATATGGGATTATCTGCCTGAAGAAGTGGCTTTATCAGAGTCTGTACCAATATTTAAACAGCATCTGGAAGCATACTTGCAAAAACACAATATTCAGGGATATCATTTTTAATTTGTGGGGTAATAGCTTTTTGACCAATGATAAATCTAACTGCCATTCTGGGGTCAAGAATTTTTTCCTAGTTTGTTGAAAAATTGGTAGTGCTTCAAACTGTTTTTTTTTTTTTTTTGCCTTCTTTTAGATAAACAGCAAAAACAGATGTGAGAGAGGCTGAGCTTGAGAGTTAATCTGAAATGCATAGGATTTAATGCCATATTGCAAGTGTTTATACATAACGGACTTGATGAATCTGGGGTTATTTTCAAACAGATGGTATTGCCTAAAGGCATTTAAAAAAACTGGAAAAAAAAATAGAAAAAAAAAAAAACATACAAAACATTTTAATGGTCTCTTAAAATATCCATATATAAATAGGGTCTCCATACTAAGTTTCAAACAAATAACCCTTCAGCATCATTATATGCAATAACAAAGGTCAATATACAACCTAGAAATAATGCATTTTTTTTATCTCTTGATAATATAACCATACTGCTGTACATTATGGAGAAACCAATGCAATTATGCTAATGATTAGCAAGAACGTGAGAATGTTTCCCCCCTGCAAAATAAAGGTAACTGCTAGTGATGGTTTTTATTCTTCTTTTCAAACCAACTTGCTTGTAAGCACGATATGTGATGTGCATGTTCAAGTTGTACGTTTGAAGTGGATGCAGTGGAAACATTACCCTGTGCAAAATTTTATTTAGACATAGTAATCATTTTTCTTGCACTAATGGATATGCTGAATTTTGCCTCCAGCACTACTTGGCAGCTTTTTAAAAATATATATTTAACTCATACAGAGCCATTTCAATTGATGCCATTAATAACATATGGCCCGCGCAAACTGCCATTTAATATGTCCTACTTATATAACATAATCAACTCTAGAGTTTTTTTGCTGTCAATAAATGAGTAGAGCATTTGAGGTTATGAACAAAATGTATCTAGAACAGAATGTTTCTTGATAACTTAGTGACAAGATATTTAGCCTTGATCTTGATCACACTATATTGTTTGATAGACATGTGCAATTCCTTTCATTCCAAATGCAAATGCCGAAATGCCGAATTGCTGAATTGCCGAAATTCTGAATTGCCGAAATTCTGAATTGCCGAATTGCTGAAGTGCTTCAGATTTCTGAAAAGTGGCAAAACAGGAGAGGCTTGGGGTTAGTGGTTGGGGTAGAGATAGGGTTAGGGGTAGGGTTAGGGGTAGGGTTAAGGGATGGGTTAGGGTAGGGTGTAGTGGTTGGGGTAGGGTTAAGTTTAGGGGTAGGATTAAGAGTTGGGGTAGGGGTAGGGGTAGGTTTAGGCATTGGGGTAGGGTTAGGGTTTCTATTTCAGCAATGCTCACCCATGGGGAGGGCCTAATGCACTTGCAGAACTCACCTGACATGCGCATTAGCCGACCCATCGGGTGATGGCAGAGTGCTGACCCAGTGCCGAGGGAGACCACTACTGGAAATGGGTGAGTACAGAGAGGATGTCTTTAACCCTTTGTGAGCAAGGGGGAGGGGCGGGCAAGAGGGATGGGTGGACCAGAGGGAACTATAGTATAAAGCAGTGTTCCCCAACCCAGTCCTCATGGACCACAAACAGTCCAGGATTTATGTATTTCCCTGTTTATTCCAATGGAGATACTGACAAAACCTGGACTGTTGGTGGTCCATGAGGACTGGGTTGGGGAACACTGGTGGAAACAATACAGATTTGTATTCCTTACACTATAGAATCTGTTTAACTCTTTTTTTTTTTTTCTAATATTTTATAATCCTTCTATATTTATAGAATTAAAGTGATCTACAAAATGTTCAAAACAATCTAGCTAGGACAGGTATGTTCTCCCAATTAGTTTATTGATGGTTGGATATTTTTGTAATTTGGTTGCCAATTCACCTTAATTTACATCTTAATACATATACCCTTAATTAGAACATGAAAACAAAACACAAAAACAGAGCAACAAACAATTAAATGGATGAAACCAGCTCAATTGCTTTAAACATCAGAATTAACACACATGCCAACTGGAGATCTTGTCAGTCACCACTGAAAATGGTATGGACTTGTGCAGGAGATAGGCATACAGGAGATTGGCATATATTATTGTGCAGAAGATAGGCATACATTATCTACCACATAGATGTTGGATGTGGTTTTAACATATATAAATATTTTTATTTAAAAATAAATTGGTATAAGCTTTTTTTAATCATGTATCACATAACTAGAGCATATAATGTTACTTCAAACAAAAATCTGTGTTTTCATATAACACAGATTTTTGGTTAAAGTAATCCTTTCTGAGGTGCACCCTCAAAGTAAAAATAAATAAATAAATAATAAGCACCTAAAGTCACCTCCATTCCATCAGAGTCCAAGTTCTCTCCTTGCCTGAGTTTACTCTCCCTAATAGGGGGCATGCCACCATTAGCTCTGCAGGCTTACATCAGACACCAGTTTTGCACAGAATTGACATAAGCTAGCTCTGAACTTTGTTACACTTCTTGGGCCAATCTCTTTTTGTGCGGCATTTCAAATTTAAAATGCTGCACATGATGATTACAAATCGATGCAGTGATCATGGTGCTTGCAAAAACTGTTTAAGGTAAAATAAAACTATTTCATAAATAGCTTGCTGCTCAGTCATAACAAAAATGTAACTGATATATATAGAGGAAAATG